TAGATGGAGCATCACGGATAAGCAGCTAAAGATGACTCATCAGAGTAGGCTGTTGCTCCAGGGCTTTGGCTGTACGATCAGTGGAATTACATAACAAAAAGGAATTAGGAGTAGCAGTACTTACGAAATTCTTACTTGTGGCAGCTCAATGAGATCTGAATCAAAAAGTTACGGCAAAATTGAAAAAAAAAGAAGAATGCTTGCAATTCTGGCCATATTGGTTATGCAAGAGATGTAAGAGGGTTAATTTATTTTTCTTGTCAATAGGAAGGATAAGAGGTGAATTGATAATAGTTTGTAAGTGCCTGTCCAGAGATAAAATGACACTTCGTTCCATCAGATAACAAAATTCAACATCAGAAACTGCATAAATTCCTATAGGGAACAAAGTACACATTTTACCAGGGGTGCTAATCAATCATGGCAAAACTGGCCCAGAAATATAATGACTTTTTCAACATTCAATACCTGTAAGTCAAGATTGGAAACCTTTAATTGAATGTTTAGAGGTACAGTTACTCTGCAAGAAATTATGATTTTATTTTATTAGTCTCAGTTTACAGAAGCTTGTTATTTCTAATAGTTATTGAGATAGTTTCAAATGCTAGAGGCCTTTGTTAACACAACACCTACTCCCACTTTGTGGATGACTCAGAAAGGGGTGAATTTCTGCTTTTTTTCTGTGTACTTAATTTAATTAAGAAAACTACAACCAAATAAACCTGCACAAAATATTGCTGAGATTGCAATATGAGAAAGGAGGAGATATTAGCACTACAGTTATGCATGGAACATCAATCTGTGCACCCTGTATCTGGCCTCTCGTTTCCCAGGCTATATAGATATGTATTAATATGCATGTCTTTGGATACACAATTACTGCTTTACAATAGGCAAAAGCTGCTTTATAACATCCACAAAACAAAGAACGTGTACATTTTTTATTTTATTTGACAGTGGAAGTTGTGTGGTAGAAAAGGAAGTGGTTTATTTTCTAACCAGACATTTAATTTGTGGTATACAAGGGTGTCCTCCTGTGAAAAATAGAGGTTTGGTTTATTGCTATAAATTATAACCATTTGTATTTGAAAATTAACACAAAACGAGTGCAAAACACTGCCCAGTCATCATTTTTACAACAATGATTTATGTCAGTTTTTCAGAGCTATCAAATACTATACAAAGCAAAAAGAAGGGCTACGAAGAGTGTTCAGCACTGCTTGCACTGAAATTTCATAGGACATTTCTTTGGGCACTGCAGGCTCAAATGTAGTAGTTAGCATAAAGCTGTCATTTTTCAGGCAAAACTAACTTTGTAAACAGAGGAAAAAAGAGGGCTTTATAGCGAAAGGTTACTGGTTACAATCCTTACTAAAAGCAAATTCCTTCCCTGTAATAATCTTCTAAAATGAATGAAACGTAAAAGATGAATTTTAGACATACCTATGTTGAAAATTACTTCTATTTAATAACTTTAAATTTATGTTCATACAAACATTAAAAAGGCGTTCTGGGTTTGCTCAGTTTTCCCATAGAAATTATGCTGTTTTTGAAGAGTGACCTATTATTTTAGCATGAATAGTGAAGAAAAACAAACAAAAAAATATTCCTCTAGGTTTGATAACAAAAAAATCTCTATTTGCATGATCTATTTGCATCCTCAGTGTTGGATTTTTTTGTTTGGTTGGTTGGTTTTTGGTTTTCAGTTTGCTTTGGTGTGGTTTGATAAGGTTGTAGGATAAAAACCAGCAGAATCTCTTTGGGATTAAATTTGTAATTAATCAAAGATTTCTACACAGTTAGTGTGGCATTCTGCCATAGTATCGTATAAAATTAGACATCTGAACTAAGACATCTACACTTCGTCTGCGATCAGCAGAGAGAAATCAGTATCCCCAGGCATAATCCTATAGGAAAAGCAACACCAGCTCCTGGGATTTCTGAGCACGGCTGCAGGATTTCACACAAACCTAAAACTGCTGGGAAACCATCCAACAACGTTAAGAAGATCCATTTTCTTGAAATTCTTGAGGAAAAATATACATATATACTTGGAAGATATGTGGGCAAACACATGTAAGTAAAAGTCAAGTTTTTTGGAACAAAATACGCCCAAAACTTTTACTCTTTCATACATTCTTTATACGTTATAGTGTACCAAGAAGGGTCAATCACATGTTCAAACATTCTGTCACTGAACATTTTTAACCTACGTACCTAATGAAAAGTTTTAGTTGCACTAAAAACTCCAAATAGTTATTGGAATGTTATCATGAATAAACATTCATTTTCTTTACTGCTGATTTTAAAATCCACATGGTTTATGCTGCTATGTAAATTTTTCAGGCAGTTTTAAGTAAAATTCATCCTGAAGATTTTTGACAATGCAATAGAGGAAAGAATATCACTGGAAATAAATACTGAAACGTAATCTACATTCTCAAAATCTGTTTAACTCTGCCTAATAGCATTTATGTGTTTTTATGATAGGCAGAAATATAAAAATCTGATAAGCTGCTTGTTTTGTCCTCCACTGTGTCTGCTGTTTGATGGTGTTTGTATTATACTTTAGTTTTATTTTCTACAGGTCACAAGTGGAAGTTCATTTCAAATTTATTCATTTACACAATTATTGAAGCATTCTTCACTAACAGGTTTAATTTATCCACTGGCATTTATTTCATAATCAGGTTAACTGTACTGATACTGTACTAGGCAATTTGGTAAGTAGGAACCTCCATTTTATGTGGAAATTTAGCATACTTTTAATGTATACTTCAGTAGGTGATAAACTAAATTAATATGAGCTGATGATATTCCACTTGCTGAGTTGCACCTGCACTGTTTCATTTTACTGGTATAGCTTCCTCAAGAAGTAAATACATTTTTTCAACAAGCAATTTATTTGTTTCAGTATATGCTGTTCAGACTTCGTCGGATAGAGCACTGAAAAGTAATACTCATTTCTGTGTAATAATTGCTTAAATCTACATTGCAAGCTGGGGATATGCCAGTGTTTCTGAATCTCAGAGAAACATGAGTCTTCCTCTCACTGGCATGAAAAAATCCCATGTGCTTTCAGGAATTTCTCAGTATCTGACAGGTCTTTTGGCTTTGATTGATACATCCTATCAACTCATGAAAGCTATTACCTCAAGTAAATGAAAAATTAAATATACAAATTATACATTTATATTAATGGCAAGAATACCTAGTTTTAATAGTACTTGTATACAAAGAAAAAGATGTTTTGGACTATCAGTATATGATTTATATATTTCAATTCTGAGTGTAATTACTTTTCCTGGCAGGGTGCATAAGGAAAATCTTCCCCCGTGTAGATTGTTCCTGCAGTGGCAAATATTAGCATGAAGTTCATATGACTTTAATCTCTAAAAGATCAGTGCCTAACGAAGCCAAATGTCAGCTCTCCATCATCAGTGGAAAGAAATAGTTGGAGTAAACCTCTGTTTTATTTAATCTTCCAGAATGGCTCACCACCTACATCACTCATGCAAAAGGGAAAGGACTCTCAAACTCAAGGAGTTACCTCCGATGCCATCCCATCCCATCCTAACCTGTCCAAGAGGAGAGTCCTTGACCGCAGACCCACTGCTTCCAGGGAGAAACATGACTCAAACTCAGAAAATCTACGGGCTAGTTTTATACCCAAGCAGCATCAGTCTGCGGTCAAACATATAATTATAGATAGTTTGGCCAATGTCAAGCTTATCACTTCTGTATAAATTGTAGTCATCATGTTCTTTTATGTGTCAATAAACTCAAGTTTCTCAGCTGTCTACTGCTAACAACACAATGAGCGTGTGAGGAGGCACCAACTGCCCTGCTGATCCCACGGCCCTCAGAGAGGGAGAGAAGGAGAGGGGCTGAAAGTCCACCACACATTAAGACCAGAAAAGGTCTTGAAGAATCTGGAGGTACCTGTCTTCTTGAATTATAATTATAAAGAACATCAAAATGACTAGCTTAGGTTAGATTTTAGAGATGGAAAAAGCTAAACAAGCTTTCTGATCTTAGAGAGAACCTGCTAAGTGGAAAAAGTAGCTTAATTTAATACGGAATTTTACATGCCTCGAAATTGAAGCTTTGGACTGATGAGCACAACATGAAAAATCACCCATATAACGATGCGAAAGACCCCTTCTGACAGCTCCTCTCCCTTCACCCCTTGTGAAGCATCGCACAAGTTCCTCCAGGGACAACTTCCACTGTAATAATTTGGCTGTTCTCCAGCATAT